TGCTTATCAAAAAAATTGCTTGGAATACACATGCATCAGCGGTTACGAGAGGAAAATCAGACGTTCGACAATTTTCCCGAATGATCTTCTCTCTCTCTCTCTTTCTCTCTCTCTCTCTCTCTCTCTTGCGCCTGACAATTTTCTAAAAATTGATTTATTAATCCTGGAAAAACGGTATTTGCCCAAATTTTTCGCTGTTGCGAAATTCCAATTTTTGAGCCGTACTCGATTACGATAGAAAAATCAGGCGTCCGACCAAACTGTTTTCCGAAAAACTCTCCGCTCCGTTTCGCGCTTCTCTATTTTTCTTTGTTTTTTTCTGACGCCTCTGCTGCGATGGTTATCTCGGTCATTTTGGAAGCAATTTCTGCATGCTGGCGCTTCCATTTCTCACCTATCTGCTCACCCCTTTTTCTTTCTCTTCCTTTTTTTCGAGTGAATCTCGTGGCCATAGATAAGCTCCACCCTCTCTCTCGCTCCCCCTGCTGGTTAGCTCACGTGCCACCCGCCTTTTTTTGTTGTTCCAAACCGATTATACCCGAAATTATTATTAGCTGACGGCTATATAAAATATTAAAAAGATCGATTATAGCATTATTGTATTCCGGAGAAATTGCGGACCCAATTTCGTCATAAACGCGGTTTTTATGCATTTTATTGACTTTATTTGGGATTTTTCCTCCTTCAAAATTCCTGGAAATCGATTACGACAGTAAAAAGCGGCTGGCAATTGGCTCATTTTGTTATCTAACTGGCGTATAAGGGCTTGATACAATTTTGAGCCCATTTTCCTGCCTTGAATAGTTAGGCCGGATCCGATTACGCTAGTAAATAAAAAATATACGAGATAATGGACTTAAAACTTACATAAGATTATCGCTAATCGATTCCCAACCAAATTCTAGTTAAACCGAAGGAATGCATTGGAGGCGATCTAGACCATTTCCCGCTTTTTTTTCTAAATGCAGTGCCTAACCGATTACTGTAGAAACATACAAATCGGTGCATTTAGCTTTTTTTGCGGCATCAAGCGCTATAGTAACTTTATTTTCCTCATTTTTGCGTTTTCCAAGAATCTCTGTAATCGATTACGCGTCGAAATTGCTTTCTACAACCGAGCCGCTGACCAAAAAAACGATGTTCGGCTCATAATAGTTTTAGTAGCGTAATCGATTACGTTATGAAAAAGAGCCCGTCCAAAAATCATTTCCCGAACGGTCTCTGCTGCGTGACCGTATTCCTGGTTGACGAAAACACTCAGGCTTCAGGCAATCTACGCACCGCTTCAGCGTCGACAGCCATTGTTTTGGACCTTTTTCCTTTAGTCTCCCATCTGGAACGCATTTCCCCACAAGATTTCCAGCCATTTGGGGCTTTTGTCTTCCATAGGATGGCCATTATTTTTTGTCATTTTTTGCTTGTCTGCCTGGCAGCTGATCTATATTTAAGAGGTTTTTACCGGTTTCTCTCTCGCACGCTATCACCCTAGCACTCTCCCTCACTCTCTCTCGCTCTCTCTCGCTCTCTCGCTCACTCTCTCTCACTATCCCTCCTCTCTCTCGCTCCATCACTTGCTCTCACTCCCTCTCGCTCTCTCTCACTCTCCTCCTCTCTCTCCCACTCTCACTCACTCTCACTCTCACTAACTCTCTCTCTCGCTCCCTCACTTGCTCTCACTCCCTCTCGCTCTCTCACTCTCCTCCTCTCTCTCCCACTCTCACTCACTCTCACTCTCACTAACTCTCTCTCTCTCTCTCTCTCTCTCTCTCTCTCTCTCTCTTCGGTCTCTCTCGTCCCGTTTCTCAGGATTTTGTCTGCATTGTCCCGTGGCGTTGATTCATTTCCGGGTCTGCTGTCAAACTAGCAAAGATTCTTTAGGAAATCCTAAATTTTTACTGTTTTCAACAACCTGGCTGCCAGTGCCAGATTTTTATCAACGCACTCTTACTTTCCAAGGCAAGCTAGCAGAGATCCTTTAGGAACGTTAGGATCACTTTCCAGCGCTTGACGTCTTTCCTTTTTCTTTTCTGCTTCCCATCTCATTTTCCCCTTTCCCGAGCAACAGCTGCCCGTTTTCTTGCTCCAAAAAATGGCGAAATGTGGCTCTGCCTCTCTTTGCTCATTTCTCAAAAGTTCTCTGCTAGCCTGCCCCCTCCCTCTCTTTTCTCGTCCACCCGGAACCCCCATTTGCCATGATGTCCCACTCGACCTTCCAGACCATTCCTTGGCTTCAAAAGCAAATACAACAAACTATGCTCATTTCGAAAAACGGTTTCCGCAAAGAAACGCTGCTAGTTTGCCCTAAAAATCGCCAAAAAGCTTGGCTGGTATGCCCTAGAATTCCTTAAAAATGTCCGCTAGTTTGCTATTCTCATTATATTTTGTTTGGCCAAAAAACTGCAAGAATCTTTGCTAGCCTGCCCCTCACCGAATTCCTCCAAGAACCGCTGCTGGTCTGCCTTGAATTTCCTGAAAGATCTTGGCTAGACAGCTTCCCGTTGCCCTAATTGTCTCTGTTAGACTGCCCTGGCTATTCCCTAAGAATCTCTGCTAGTTACCCAATTAATTCCTGAAGAATAACTGCTAGCCTGCCCTATGTTTTGATGAATTTCTCCTTCAGATCAGAGGTTACCGTATCCCTTCAATCTCCAAGAGATCAGTGCACATTCCACTCTGCAGAAGCTTTTCTTTGCAATCCCTCCTTTCTACCCACGAGATCAGCCTCCACATCTAATCGACGTCAATTCCCAGTGCAATGTAGTCGCCATCTATCACAATTTGCACCCCCGGAAAGAGCGCAGATCTGTTTGTTTTAGCTTTGATCTTTTTGGGAATTTGTCTCTGCGTCGTTCTCTCTATCCCTCTCTCTCTCTCTCTCTCTCTCTCTCTCTCTCTCTCTCTCACGTTCACACTCTCTCGCTCACTCACTCTCTCTCGCTCTCTTTCTCTCTTTCACTCTCGCTCTCTGTCTTACTCTCTCTCTCTCTCACACTTCGGCTCTCTCTCGCTCTATGTCTCTCTCACTCTCGCTTACACTTCGGCTCTCTCCCTCTCACACGTTCACACTCTCTCTCGCTCACTCTCTCGCTCCCTCTCTCGCTCTCTGCCTCTCTCACTCTCTCTCACTCCCTCTATTTACCCACCCTCCTCCCCTTCCTCAGAAAGTTTGAAGAGTTTTTGACCCTGCGCTGGCCTCCCCCTCAATTCCAAGAGCTTCTCATCCCCTTTTTTCTGCTCTCTTTCTCTGCCCCCTCCTCCCGTCCCCCACTCTCTCGCTCCCTATCCCCACCGTATCGTCTAGTCTTCTCGATCCCCTCGATTCGTCGTGTTCCGATCGGTTTTTTCAATTTTTGCTCTGAGGCGGATCGAATTCCGAACGGTTCTTTGAATTTTTTCAGTGCGCACTTGTAAAATCCGACCAGTCTGGAGCTATTTTTGCCTTCGATGGACCTTGAAAATCGATATTTCGAGTTCATTGATCGATTACTTGGAGCTCTTCGTTTTTAAAGGGAGCGGCAAGGCAGGGCTATGGATTTTGCTGGTTATGGATTCTCTATGGATTCTGCGGCGCCGCAACACGCAACGAGTCACGTCGCTTGTCGGAGTTTAACGGGTCCGAATCGATCACGCAGTGGAAAAGCGGCGTGCGCGTTGCGTGGAAAATTGATAAATCTGGTCTATAACCAAAAAAACCTATAGTCATTCTTGTACGGCGCTTTAAACCTATTTTTTCGAACAATGTTAGTGATTTTTCAATTTTTACCATGAAAATTGAGCTGTCACGTTCCATTTAAAAGCGATTTCTGGGCCTTAGGGATCAATTCTGGAAAATCTCTTCGTAAAGGAATCGAGTGGGCAAAATTCCGCGAGAATACTCGAGTGTTACGCGCCCTTTAAAATACTTTTTTACGATTTTTGAACGTTTTTCACTCGTTTTCAGGCCAATCAAAAAATGGCGTGCGCGTTGCGTGTCTCGGCGCGGCAAGGCCAAGAAGAATCCTAAGAATCCTAGACTTGCACGTCCATTTAAAATGTTGTATTCTGGCTCCTCTTTTGCTCCCGTTCTCTAGTTCCCCCTAGTTTTTTGCAAGTTCTGCAAGCCGTGCGTAGAGAGTATCGTCTCGGATTCCGGAATTTTCTCTAGGCGTCTTGAAATCTGATCCGACATTCGCTGGGCGGATGACATTTTGTTATTTCATTTCCGGGGGAATCCCCTGGCGAGAAAGAGAGAACGAGAGAGAGAGAGAGAGAGAGAGAGAGAGAGAGAGAGAGAGAGAGATATTCGAGCCATATGTCAACACACTAATGGAAGTTCCCAGGTTTTTTGGAAGGGCCAGGGAAGTGACCACACCCCCGCCACTTCTGCTTGCACGGAATCCGATTCGCTACATTCCATTCCTAATGACGTCCAGTGGATTGCACCGTAGCCCCCAAGGTCCGATTGCTTCAATTTCTAGGGGATTCCCCCGCTTTTTCAAGGGCCATTGAAGGCTGGAAACTGCGTCAGTACCTTTGAAGACTGGCCTTTAAAAGCTGACCAAATCGCGGGCCACAGAATTCCAAAATGTCATTTTCTGCCCTTCTAGTGCATGGAAACTCGGGTTTTTTTTGCCCTTGCTACTCTACCAGGCGTTGCGTATCGTAGCCTATGACCACGTAATTATCTGGAAAGCGATCTTTTAAAGGCCCGTTTAAGCGAGAGTCTATGGCCGTAAGTTTTGACTTCACCGAACCTTTAAAAGACCTGAAGGCGTTTCCCCGTTGGTCTCTGCTAGCTTGCCCAATAACTTTCTAAAAACGGTTAGCATGCGATTAACCTGGCGTAATCCATTCAATTCCATTCTAGTTTTTGATCGCGAAGTTGATACATAATTTTTGGTGTGTTTCGTATGTTTCTATGTCGTAATCGATTCGACTTTTCCATCAATTTTTTTATTGAAGCAATAACTCGTTTTTTTGGAATTTTTTGGTTTTTTTTTTGAAGCTTCGTTTTCAGAAAGATGGGCACCGACCTGTACGCCGTGGAGCCATGCTGCCCAGATACTCCAACCTCATCTACTGCCGTCCAATCAATCGATACATTCTGTGGAGCATCAGCTTCTATTGTCCATTCTACATCTTCAGTGGATGATGATGATCAATACTCTTCCTCCTCCCCCACACCCTCATCTACAGTATCCTCATCCCCCTCTTCCTCCCCTTCACAATCCCCTATCCAGCGTCCATTCAAGATCATCGTCCAGAAGCAGACCTTTTATATTGGTGGGTTTATTTTTAAACATTTTGATTTTTAGCTAATATTTATTCAAATGTAATGTGTTAATTAAGGAAAAATCGTTTTTATGGATTTTTTTACAATTTTTAGCTTCTAGAAAATTTAAAATTATCAACGTTTAAAAATACCCATCGTAATCGTTTTGTCTTGACTTCAAGGTACCCTTAAAAGCACTTAAAAGCACAACAAAACTGCGGCAAAATCTAAATTTTTATGATGTCTTTAAATTAAAAATTTTGAATTTTGAAAAATTTAGTTTTCACTGGTTTAATCAACATAAAGGTGATAGATTTCTTGATTTAGAATCTGTTTAAGACCAAAAATTATTTTTTTTCAGACGCCGAAAACCTGAGCCAACTATCACCCATCTTCTCGATTATGTGCTTTGGGAAAGATTTCGACAAAATGGAAGAACCAGGGCGAGAGATTGTAGATGAGAAGAGCTCAGATGTGAAAACATTCCTGGATGCTGTTGAAGATCACTCACTCATTAAGGGTAAGTTAAAGCCAAAAACTATTTAAAAAACGAAAAAGCAAAAAGTTTGACCTCGCCGGGGATCGAACCCGGGTCGTTCGCCTGGCAACCACGCTCCTTATCCACTGCGCCATTTTCAGTACGTAACGTTCCGGTCCTGCTTCGTCTCGCCAACAAATACCAAATGCCGTCAATTGTCGATGCTTGCGAGCAATTTATGAGGAGACTCAACCTTGAGTAAGTTGGTGCCAAATTTTTTGATTTTGATGCCGTAATTGGTTCTCTCTTTTGTACGATATCGTGTCGTAATCAATTCCTCCCTTTAGTGCACTGACAGCCACCGAAGTTCTTCAACTCTTGCTGGCAGCAGATGAGTGGCATTCGGCAAAAGATGTGGTCGTCCGGTTGATCCGTCGATTGGCCAATGAGGAAAAGACGACTTTTAACAAGTTGAAGCTGTCGAGGCGACTTCCGGCACAGGTAGATTTTCCCTTCAATGGTCCTTAAAACCGGAATTTACAATTTAATGCGGTAGTTTGTATACCATCTGCAAAATGTAAAAGCTTAGCTGCAAATTTTCGATTATTTTACGGGCCTATTCAAGCCGTAAAAGCATGTGGATTTTGCCTTCAATGGCTCATTAAACGGAAATTTTATGTTGGTTTTTTTAGTTCGTAGTTTCTGGCAGACTCTAAAAGCCAAAATGCCCCATTTTGTTGGTTTAAAGGGCTATTGAAGGCATGAAATCTACGCATTTTGCCTTCTACGGCCCTTTAAAACGCCGAATTTCCAGATGTATGGCTGTGTAATCGGGACAAATCTGAACCTCTGCCAATTGAAAGAAGCCGAACAGATGAACGGGCATTGGCTGCATTGCGTCGGGTCAGTTTTAGAAGCCGAATTCCGCAAAGAGTCTCTGCTAACCGGTCGCCGCGTAGCGATATGCCAAAATTCCAAAATGGTCTGTGCTCGCTTGCCCTTTCTAACCAAATTTAATTGAACTTCTTCAGGTCTCGTGCCCGCTGGTACCGTGCCCCGTGTGATTACTGTAAGCTGATCACCGAGTGCTCCAATTGTACGCAGTGCAGAAAGGTGGGTAAAAATCGACAAAACGCTTCAAATTAATTTAATTAAATTTTATCTACAAAATTAACTGGTTTTTTAGTTTTATTTTGATGGTTTTAGTTTATAAAATTTAAATTGCCAATTTTGTTGATTTTTAGCTATTTTTAAATTTTTACAATACAATACAATCTATTTTTTTTTTCAGACGATGTGCCGCGACCACCTAAAAGAAAATAAATGCCGTGACAGCTACGGGACGCGAATGCTTGCCGAATTGAGGGAAAATATCGTCGAGTTGGACTGGGAATAGACCCAGAATTTTATGTCGTAATCGATTACCCTGCAGGGCGCTACCTCTATTACATGGCGTAAACAATTGATTTGCCTTCACCAACTCTTTAAAATACTTTTCTGGAGATCGGAGAATCAATTACGATATGAAAATCATGTATAAGCTTCCAGATCTCGATAATTTCCTAGTGTAACCGAATACTTTTGACTTCATAATCCCTTTAAATGAGGTTCTGACGTCGAATTACACGATTACGCCATGAAATGGATTGCCAAATTTACTGGCTTCAACAAAATACATGGCGTAATCACTTGAATTTGACTTCACAACTCCTTTAAAAAATGTTTTTGGCGCTCAGGGAATCGATTACGCTATGTAAATGACGCCAGGTTTCGACGAAATAACCTTGCGTAACTGATTCGATTGTCCCACTCCCTTTAGCTACAACTTTTTGTACCGATTATACCATTTAATTCCGCCGTAGTTTTACGTGTACATAGTACTCCTCCGGAAACACTTTGCCCTAGCATCAGTATTTTTACTTCAATGACAGGTTCGAATATTTCTAAAAAATCCATAAAAATTTTTATAGCATTATTTTTGCCTGAAAATTGTAGTTTGTATTATATTTTATAACTCGCCATTATCGATCTGGAATCTCCCTGAATTTTTTTTGACAAAAATTGCTCTTTTTCTGTTGTTTTTCGTGCCTGCCCAGATTTTCCTAGCCTTCCATGTCCCTTTAAAACGCCCCAAATGAATTTTTTGGTTTCCAGAATCTTAGCAAATTTACATACCGGTCAGTGTTTTTCTATTGTTTCCTATTATTTTATTTTGAGTGGAAATTTTGGAAAAATGAAAATATTTGATTTTTGTATTTTCACATATCAATATTACAAAAAATTGTATAAAAAGCTATTTAAAATTACCTAACGTAATTAACTCAAAATTTTTAGTTTTAATTTTTTAACGGCGTCAGTTTGAATTTTTAAATTTTTAAATTTTCGATTTTTTAGCATTTCAGTTTTTAAAAATTATTTTATTCGCTCTGGGACATTATTTGGATAGCAGAAACGCAAAAACACCGAAAAATCACAAAAAAGACGCGAAAAACCGGAAAAATCGCAAAAAATGACAAGAAGATGGCGGGGTTACTGTAGCGACTATCTAGGGTTATCCGATTACGCTAGCTAAATACACACGAAAAATCACAGCTTCGGGATTATGGCATGAAAAGGAGGTGGTAGAAGAAGAAATAGGGCACGAACACAAATAAAATTTATACAAAATAGGGTACGGTAGACGCCATTTAATCGATTACGCTATGGAAGTCGAAAGTCGAGTCGGTGTTTTCGATTCCATTACGCTACGTTACTGCTGACTACGGTGGGCAATTAATTACGCTATGAAAATGCAAAGCGACGAGGATAAATAAAGAAAAATCACATTTTGCGATAGGGTACGGTATCTGGGTAAATTTGTATCCTAGCTAATCAATTGCGCTATGAAAACCACCGGATCAAAAGTTTACGCCATGAAAATCCCACCTGGCAGTCAGACAATCGATTACGCTATGAAAATCACGGGATTTGAGTGGGGCTAATGAAAGTCCTAGCTGCTAGTCAGTTAAGCAGGGGTCAATCGATAGAGGTGGATCGTTGCGTACTTGTCGGAGTTTTGGCCGATTTGAATAGATGTGAATGGCTGGGGAAACATTCAAGGGCTACGCGACGCCACTCCGAACGGATCGCATCGTTCGCTGGGTCACGGTTTTCTGTTCTGAAAGCAAAAGATAGGTTCTAGAAAGAGAGAGAGAGAGAGAGAGAGAGAGAGAGAGGCAGAGAGAGCGGGAGACAGAGAGAGAGACAGAAAGAGAGAGAGAGAGAGAGATAGAGAGAGCGAGAGAGAGCGAGAGAAAGAGAGAAAGAGCGCGAGAGAGCGCGAGAGAGCGAGAGAAAGAGAGCGAGAGAGCGAGAGAGAGCGATAGAAAGAAAGAGAGCGAGAGAGAGAGAGAGAGAGAGAGAGAGAGAGAGAGAGAGAGAGAGAGAGAGAGAGAGAGAGAGAGAGAGAGAGAGAGGAGAGAGAGGCGAGAGAGAGCGAGAGAGAGCGAGAGAGGGAGAAAGAAAGTGAGAGAGTGAGAGAGAGACAGAGAGAGAGAGATAGAGAGAGAGAGAGACACCTACCGTAAATCCACGGGTTCAATGGCTTTCTCATCCGGATGTGCACTTTTCACGTGATCCAGATACATGCTTTTCTAAAAAATAATGCTTTTTTATAGGAAAAAAAAATCCTGAATGGTCGCCGCTAGCCTGCCTGAATGTCGGTAATTTCATTACGTAATGTGTGTTTTACAAGAATGTGGTAATTTTCTGGCGTTCTTTACTTCCATGGTCCTTTAAGGTCAGTTTTACTCGAGAAAGCTTTCCAGATGGTCGCTGCTGGCCTCCCCCACCGCCAGAATTTATATGACGTAATTGATTAAAAAAAACGTACCTTAAAAAACTGCGATCCACAATGAGGACATCCGAATCTCTTGACCGGATAGTGAGAAATGGCATGAGAAATGAGAGAACCTGAGGTCGTGCTCAGCAGACGGGAACATTGCTGGAAAAGGTCGATAAGTTATGATACCCACTTCAATGGCCCCTTTATTTACGTAAAAAAAAGGAAATCAACTAGTGGTTTCGGAAAATCATGCCGTAATCCATTAGCAAAAGTCTCTCTGCCTTCAATGGCCCTTTAAAATGCTCTAAAGTATCGACTTCTCTTGTTTTCAGGGTATGCTAAAGTGCACTAGACATTCTAGAATTACCTCGCGTAATGGGTTGCAAAAAAAAGTATCGAAAATTTTTATTCTGCAGTTTTAGGATACCGTATTCTGATAAATACTCACATGACATCTAGCGTATCCATTGGATGTGGCATTACTGTGTCTAGCTGTTGTCCTCATATTCGCCAAGGAATTCTTATGGAGGCTGAGGACTGATTTCACGATCTCTTCGACGGTCGAAGTGGAGGCCATTCCGTCGAGTTCCACTGAAAAAAGTCACGGTTATTCGAACGACAAGAATGAAAATCGACATGACACGCTCCCTTTAAAATGTAAAAAGGTCCAGAGACGGGAGAGAGAGAAAAAGAGAGAGAGGGGAGAAAGAGCGAGAGAGAGAGATAGAGAGACCAAGGGTGAGAGAGAGGTAGAGAGAGAGAGAGAAAATGAGAGATAGAGAGACCGAGCGAGAGCGAGAGATAGAGTGACCGAGAGAGAGAGCGAGAGATAGGGAGACTGAGAGAGAGATAGAGTGACCGAGAGAGAGAGATAGGGAGACCGAGAGAGAGCGAGAGAGAGAGAGAGTGACCCAGAGAGAGAGAGGATAGGGAGACCGAGAGAGAGAGAGCGAAAGCGAGAGAGAGGGAGAGAGAGAAAAGATCGGACATAACCATACACGCCATGTAATTCCGCTAAAAACTAACGCGAACTGTGTGCGGGTGTTGTAAGCGCAGTAGTTGTCGTGGTTGGTGTCTCCATAGGTGTACTTTGTAGTCCAGTTGGTTGACTCAATGCCTGTACCAGCGCTTCCGGAAGTGTTTGAGGCCGTTGAGGCGTGGGTGGGCTTCGAAGGATATCCGCTTTTTGTTCCACTGGCGAGGTGGTTTCTGAAAAAGACAAAACTTGCTCGCCAGGATACGGTAGCGGAATATTTAAAGCTAAAAAACGATTTTACAAAAATTAAGAAAATTTTGGATTCTTCGCTTCGACGGTCCTTTAAAAAGTATGGATTATTCCTGTGCATGTTTTACCAGGAAATTTCGCATTTCAAAAAGAACATTTACGAAACTAAATATTTTAACATTTTTGCAGAGGCCGACTTTTCGATTTTTGCCTTCAACGGTCCTTTAAAAATCGTTTTTATTTATTTCATTATTTCTTAGTTATTTATTTACCAGCGCCCAAAACCCGCTTCGCGGGCCTTGGGCGCTGGAATTGGGCCTTTGCATAAGAAATTTGACTTTCCAATAGCTCGGGTCCTTCGGACCCCCTCCACCCGGCCGACCACACGCGCGAGTGCAACTGGCAAGAATGAGGAAAATTGTATTTTCTCGCATTATGCAAATTAGCCCTCAGGGACCCCCAAAAATGAATAAAACCGGCTTTAACTTTGTAAACTTGTATTTTATCGAAATTCTGAGAACGCCATCGAAAAGAGGAGGGTCGATTCCCCCAAGTGACGGAGAATTAGGGCATTCTGGACACGGGAAGGCCCTCAAATCAGGCCTCGAAACTGACCTCCGCACACACACACACAGACAAAGATACGCGACCAAATTATATAAGGTAGGATTTTGTGTCATCAGGTAAACGACTTAAAAACATAAAAAAAAACAGAATTTTTGGGACCACTACCGAACTCCTAGTTACGGTAGAAAACGTACCCTCGCTTCCCCAAGTCTCATTATTCCCTCCTCCAGTACTTGAATTCGACAGTCTTGTCGGGGGTGTCATTAGAGGTGTGCCGTTCTGTGGTGTATCTCGTAGTGGGGGTACTGTGGATGAGGAAGAGGCCGTTGGGGTACTGTAGCCAATCGAATCTTGCCAGCCCTCTGCCCGTTCCGAGAATTTCACATCCGCGAACCCGAATTGGCACTGAAAACCCGTTTTTATACGAATTTCCTGGCCTAATTTTGCAATTTTATCGCGTAACCGGTTAAACTGACAGGCAAGCCAGCAGAAATCGTTTGTGGAATTTTTTGTAATGGTTTTAGAAAGCAAGAAAATCCATTGGCCAGGCACACGGATCTGAAGTCTAATCGATTTCGTTAGCAATTCCAGAAATGTTTCGGCTAACCGATTACGACGTTAAAAACGCTTGCCTTCCGGGCCCCTTTAAAATCTAGGTTCTGTTTTCCTAACGTGTATTTGCTAGTTGCCTGGCAGTTTAACCGATTAAGCACTGAAAAGCTAGAATCACGCCGCTTTAAAACGGTTGATAACCGTAAAAAACACGAGTTTACGCTATTTTGCCTGACGGTTTAACCGATTACGCTGGTAAAATCTAGACTGCGTCGACTTGACAACCCCTTTAAAATCAAAATTGCAAAACTTAGAAAAAAGCTACGCTAGATTACGCTAGTTTGCGGTGCAGTTTAACCGATTACGATATGAAAAAAGGTATTTACGTACCAAATTATGCAATACTTACCAATAATGCATACAATGAGGGTACATTACATCCTTTTGGCAGTCGAATTATCGCGAAATTTGGTTGAACAGGATTATGAGAAAGGGCCAATGCCTGTGATAGGGCTATCACATCCATCAGGGTACAAGGATCTGAAAATGTATTATTTTCGATTTTTAAATGCACAATTCAGTCACGAAGATATTAAATTACGACGCTCAATAAAATGCTGATTTTCGAAGGCGTCCAAGAATAAAATTGGTGGGCAAACTAGCAGGGGTTCTTAGGGAAGTCATGCCGTGGCCTGCTAGCAAAGATTCTTGAGGAGGAAAGAAGCTTCCCAGGCATTCATTGAAAAACCAAGCCTTGGCAGCTAGCAGCGATTTTTGGGAATTTTTAGACCACCCACCAATCGCGGTTTTTCGATGCGCTGCCGTGTTAAAATCGCTAGGGAAAGCTAGCAGAGATTCTAAGGGATTACGCCATAAAAACGCTTTTTAAGATCACGAGCGTTTTTAAAGGTGCGCGGACGGTAAAATTGGGCGAGCAGCCCAAAAGGCATTTTTTACGAATCAGCGAAAACTCTGGATATTACGAAATGAAAATCGGCGCATTCCATGTATCGCAAAATTGGTTATTTTTACATTTTTCAAGTCTAAGATTGACGAGAGATCAGAGAAAAGAAATTTTATATATAGAAAATATAGTAAACAATTTGGAAAATTGCTAAAATGTGGCCGATTTGTGGCCGATTCGTCATCCTCATTTCTGTGCCCGCAAAAGTTCAAACAATTCGCCAAATTGCGGCGAATCATTCTCAGGATTCACGAGTTTATTTTAGCCATTTTCACCATAGAAAACAACAATATAAATCCGTAAAATCTCCAAAATTCTCAGCTAGCTTGCCCTTCAGCTAACAAAATGTCTAATTCCTCAAGAATCCCTGCTCGCCCACCCGTTATACTTTCTGATTGACAAAAAGTCATTCAAGGGGTCATTAGTCATCCCAAGGACTACGCAACACTCCAAATTACGGGCAAAATAAGTGCGCATTTTCGTGTTCTCGAGGGCTAATTGGCCACCGGGGATTTGGAAGAGAGAGAGAGAGAGAGAGAGAGAGAGAGAGAGAGAGAGAGGGGGAGAGAGAGAGAGAGAGAGAGAGAGAGAGAGAGAGAGAGATTAGCTCAAGAGAGAGAGACATGACACATTCGTCTTCTAAATCTCATCTGAATGTACCAGCGCCAGAAGTCTATAATTTGGCACCGACGGGACCATACTAGAGACGTCTGACCAAAGCCATCTCGAAGCTGGAAGCTGCGGGAAAGCTATTAGAGAATGTTTCGGAAAAGAATATCATTTTCAAACCAGCTTAGTCCTTTTTATAGCCAAGAGCAAGCTAGCCGAGGTCTTTTGGGGAATTTTGTGAAATTTTCGGCGGACTTTCGAGTACCTTTAGAATGATATTTTTGACAGAAAGTGCTTCAACTTGTAAATTGACTACCAGTTTAAAGATTCGTCTAGGCAAACCAGCAGTGGCCATTTGGGAGACCGAGCAATTCGGAAAATAATGCCAAAAAATGGGCGCTGGGCGCCGGTTTGCAAAATCAAGAGGCAATCGAGCAGAGACCATTTAGCAAAAGTCATAATTTGTTTGAAATAATCAATAAAAAGGTGGTTGTGTGTGCGGGAGATGAATGGGTGTCTGTCTGTCTGTCTGTCTGTGTGTCTGTGTGTCCGTTTGGAAGGGGGCATGCTGGCGCCTCGGAAAAGGGGAGCGAATGACTCATCTCTGCAGCCTGGACTGACGAGAGAATGGGCTGGAGTGGAGAGGGCAGAGAAAACAAGAAAAGGATGATTTTCGAAAAAAATTTTCACAAAACCACTCTAGGACCACTTGGCGAGCTCCAAAACGCGATATTTTTGCTAACTGACCGCCAGATTACCGTAATCCAGGATGGTTACTGCAGCTGTTGGTCAGTTTATCGTTTAATATGCTTAACTGACACCCAAGCTACCGTATCCCAAAAAAATCAGCGTGAGAAAAGCTTATTTTCATGGATTGGGTCGACAAAAATTCCGAAAATTACGCTCCAACGCGGGGGAAAGGCCGACTGACTCATCGCTGGGATGGGGGAGTGGGAGTGGAGAGAGCGCGGAGATGGAAAGAGTGCTGAGATACGGAGAGAAAAGGTAGATCCGTGAAAAAACCGGGCAGCCGGAAACGCTCTCCGGGGGGTAGTCAGGGAGGGGAGTAAGTAGCTATCTCTCTTTGGCTCGCTCTCTCTCTCTCGCGCTCTCTCTTTCTCTCTCTCCATACTCATTACTCTCGCGGGTACGGTAGTTGTTGTAGTTTGTAGCCTACCAGGTCGCGGCCCAAAAATGACGTAATTTTACGTAACGCATCGTAAATTACTTGGAAAAAATGCCAAAAACGTCCAAAACCGGAAACTAGTGTAGTTTGTAGTCTATAGTTTTGTATAGCGCTTAAATGTCTTCCAGGCTCCTGTATCTAGCAACGAAAAAAGAGATTCCACCGCCTTCCGGGTACGGTATGCTTTAAAAAATCGAGAGCCTATTTTTTGTGTTAATTTTCGTTAATTGCCATCTAAAATACCGGCTATAAAGGATTTAGGTGCGGGATTACTGTGGTTTTGTATTGTTTTGCTTTAACTGTCGTCCAGGCTACCGTATCCGAAACTTTCCGACCTATTTAGCGCTCAAACAAGGATAAATTCCGTCACGCTACGCTCCAAGTTGCAGCGGAAAAGTGGGCGGGTCAGGTGAGCGAGCGAGAGAGAGAGAGAGAGAGAGAGAGAGAGAGAGAGAGAGAGCAAGAGCGAGAGAGATACAACCGTCTGAATACTTTGCGTGTGTCATCAGCCCATCCCGACCACCCAAAAAAATTCCTCCACGCCCCTCTGGAAAGCAGGTGACAAATTGGCGGGGGTGAATTTCGAGGGAAAACGTTTGAAGCCTCGGTAAAATGCCAGGATACGGTAGTTTGGGTGACAGTTAGAACAATAAAACATCGAGTTTCGTAGCTGGAAACGGCATGGGGGAAATAAAAACAAGTTTAACGTTTTTTGACAGGTCGTTATCGTAACCTCAGTTCAAAGTTTCCGTTTTAAGGGTCTACGGTATGCCAGTATGCTTACTAGAAAATCAGGAAAATCGGGAATTTAGCAAAAAAGTAGCGTTGGTCATCGAAACCATAAAATTCTTATTTTCACCGCGCTGGATACGGTAGTAATGTTGGCATTTTAAAGGCAGTAAAAAGGTATGAAGTCGAAATACGCTAACTGGGGGTCTGTAGCAGAATTTGCCAAAGAATTGCACAAAAAACTTATAGATTTTATGACAATTTTTAATGGCCTAGTATTTCCCGAGTTTTTCAAATGCCGACAGAAAACTAGCGAAACATCTCGCGTTTCCGGCCAATTTTGAGCCCCAGCTTTCCATTATCTTGCGACATTCGTTGGGTGGCTGGGTGGCTGAGTCATTTGCGAGAGTGAAGTAGAGAGATAACAAGCTGATTGGAAGGGGGAAAAGCCAAAAAATTACTGAAAAATTCAGGTGACAAATTAATGAGTGAAGAATCTTTAATTTAGGAATTTTCCCCAAAGAATCCTGCAATACCTAGCAAATCATCTCGGGTTGCTTGCCTTTCGGACACAAAACGCTCAAAAATCTCTACTATGAAATAAAACATTAAATTCTATCTCAAGTTTTCGAGCCACAGGCCATCTCTGACGATTTTCCACAAGAATCTCTGCGACCCAGCAAAGCACCTCAACTTGGTAATTAGCACTTTCCAGATGCATTCAAATCACAAAAATCTCGGCTAGCATGCCAAGCTGAAATTTTGACAGCATTTTTAAAATTTTTCCAAGAAGCTCTGCTCGTTCGCTTCGAAAGGATCGTTTCCAGCTTGCCAGCTCCCTAACAAATTTCCCAACGATATCTGCTAGCTGACACTGATTTCAGTTTCAGATGATCACTGCCTTCTGTACAAAAATTCCCAAAAATTCTCTGCTAGCATGCCTGGGCCTGAAAGGCATAGAATTTTTATTTCTGGGTCCTAAAAAACCTTTGCTAGTTTGCCATGGTCTTCGACTTGCTCCCGAAATGGTCTTCGCTAGTTTGTCCTACACCGTTTTTCCACCTACCTTGCCAATCCGCGATCGCCGTCGTCGAAAGATCCATCAAGTCCGAGGGTTTGAAGCTACCGTATCCTCCTCAGCATCTGGCGACAAAATAATGTGATCGGGCGAGAGAGTACCAGGCAATTAGAGACGCAGCGTCGCCGAATATACGGTAGATTGGCCGCCGTTGCGTCTTTTTAATTCAATTGCGTTTTCTGGCTCCCAAAAAGTCACTGCTAGCTTGCCCGGCCTCCAGACAGGCGAAATAGTGCGCCTAGACGAGAGAGTATTGGTTGCTAGAGAAGAAAATCGTCCGAATAGCCCAAGTATGCTAATTAGGGTCCACCCGTATATCAATTCCTGCTACCTGGCTCCCAAAGAACCTCTGTTAGCCTGCCCGGGGCTGCTAAAAAAGTTTCTGCAGGATTGAGGACAAGGTATAGGTGAGGTGGGGGGTATGACTCACACGCGGCCACTTGTTTTGGCCCCCTCTTTTCGGATTCTCCCCCCATAAGCCACGCCCCTTTTTACCTCAGCTGGTGAGAGAGAGTGGGTGAGAATTAGAGAAATAGACGGCATAAAAGACAAATTGATTCGTGTTTTAGGGGGGCTGCAACCTGGGATGGAAGGGTGAGCCAATGATGAGTAAACGACGGCGCCGCGAGGGGCTGAAAACCCCGAAAAAACCTGGAAAAATTGGGAAGGCGCGCTTTTTGTAAAAAAAACGAGCATCTTGCGGGCGACTGCTAGTCAATTAGCAGATCGCAACAGTTATTAGCTTTTAAAGAGACTGGACAGACTGACAGTCTCGCGTGAAGATCGCGAAAAGTGCCAAAAAAATCACTAGAAAACCCCATTCCACGTTTGTACGTGATGATACTAATCGGTAAAAATGTCTTTAAAGGTACAGTCCGCGCTCGTTTGAATGGTCTAAGATCTTAGACAAATTGTGTTTTAGAATGATGGGTTATGGTGGGTGCTAAAAGTCGGGCAAAACCGAAGCCGGGACGCTTGCCTGAGGCAAGCGCTTTAGAACAGTCGGCCATGGGAGAGACGGTAGAGGGAAGGGGGCGAAAGGCTATGAAGGGTCGGAGGCCGCGGCCGCCGGACAGCCGAACCCATGCCGCCGACCTGGTTTTTTTTGACGAGCGCGGAATGTACCGTTAATAGGCTGGGACGCAAAATCAGGTTAATTTTCAGTCCTTGGCAACTTGCGAGTTTTACGGTGGATTCGTGGCGGGACCATTTTTCCAGAAGAAAACGGTATGCACGCCTTTTCAGCAAATTGCGCAGTGACGCCGGCTTGCCGTTGCCACATCTAGACAATTTTAAAAGTACTGGAAAGTTAGAAGTCATCCGGCCCAGTCAACCGATTACGCTAGTAAATTCAGCCGAATGACGTGGCTTCAAATTTCCGCAGAAAGACAAGAATATTGCCCTTCATTATTCCTCACAATGGCATAAACGGGGACCGCAAAAAGTGCCGGCTCCTGGCGGTGCGTAGAAGTGTCCGATTTTCACGATTATGATACCAATCGAACGCTTTCGATAGCCAAGCCAACAGGGGGTCTGGCCTATTCCAGATTTGGCATTTTAATACTGTTTTCGATCGCCGAGAACCGTAAAAAAATCTGTTTTGTCCGAAGTCCGCCTTATTTTCTGTTCTCCGGTCAAAAAATTCTTGGGGTTCTTCGAAAACGGCGAACATGGAGCTAATCATAAAGGATTCTAAAAACTGGACGCGCTTGTTTTCTCGCCTTTTTAAAGGCTTTAAAATGGTCCAAAAATCATTCCGATTCGAGCCTCCTCCGGAGCACTAGAAGTGGGTACTTTTTTAGAACACCGTATTATATTTCCGGCAATGCGTTCAAAATTCGAATACGGCTATCGCTGCTCGGAAAACAGTTTTTGTGCTTATTTGCCTGTACAAATTCACCACCAGTGTCAATGTGTCTCGAAATGTATTGTAAAAGTGTTGTATACGATGTATTCCGCGACACTCCGTTCCGTCTCTTTCCGCCCCTCCGCTCGATCCTTTCGCTCTTTTTGGGTACGTCAACAATTCGAAGCGGGCTGTTGGAAAGCGAGTGATTCATTCCCTCCTTCCCTCCCTTCATTCCTCTTTTTCCCTTCCGATACTATGGCAACCTATCCAAAAACCTGCCGAAAAAATCGGGGACCGGAATTAGCTGAGGATTTTTCCGGGGGTATGGAATTTTTTGAGGGGACCTTATTGGGGTGGAATCGAAAATTTAGGTCTAATAGAAATTGGATGGCGGTATTTAGGAGAAGCGCACGCGAAGACTATGGATCTCGACTAGAGGTGCGCTCACAGTAAAGTGTTTTTACTCAGGCTGGAACTTTGAAATGAAACCTAGCCTACCTTATGCAGAATTTTGCGCTGATTCCGAATATCTGGGAGGGAGGTGTTGGATAACAGAAAAATATGGGTTTCAGATGTGGTATCTATAAATTTTCTGGCCGTTCTGACATTCAAACCGGTTCTGAAAAGCCAAGGGTCAATTATCTGTTTATTGATTATCCTCCGAAGCAGAGAAAGACGTTATATCAATTAGAAGTAACACTAGTCTATAAATGCATTGCAAAAAAATAGGATCATATTTTAGTAGTACTTCTCATTCAGATTCGGATTAAAATTCTGAGTCGTCTGATTCTGTTTCACAGACTATGCCACTCGTTAAGGCCTCCCATTCTTCCGATTTAGTCGTCCTAAAGCGAAATGTTGAGACAAAGGCTAGCCAAACTCACATGATTTCATTCCAAAAAACGTCGATCAACGGCTTCATCACCTTGGGATCGACGACACCTTCAAATTAGGTTGATTCGTCGACGAATGAGGGCTTACCATTGTGAGAAATACTGCACTCGTTGTAATAATCTCGGATGGCGCCGAGCATCGGGGTTAGGTCGGCGAGCGTCAGACCTACGAATCGCAGACACCTCCCCTTTTTATTAGAATAGTCGAGCAATTCCAAATTCTTGGTGATGACCATAATAGTCTTCCATCGATCATATTCGAATAGTAGGGCATTAGAACAGTCCTCTATTTCCAACAACGCGAAAAGGAACTTCGATTGTCTTGGTTTGACCTCGATTTCTGTGAGCAGCGCTTTCGCGATCTCCTTCCACGAAATGGGTGCTCGAACCTTCGATTGGGAAATGTATTGCAGGGCGCGGGTTATCAACGTATACTCTTCAATAAAGTCGATTTGAGCCGTTGTTGCACATTGAGGTACTTTCACACGAAACTCAGGATCCACCGTTTTTGGAAAACCACCCCCTTTTACAATTCCGCATTTATATTCATGGCATCGATGACTCGGAGGGATGTGATTGACGAAATAATATCCCGGAAATGGTTGTCCTGGAAATGAATCTATTTTAGGCCTCAAATCGGAGCGAACATTGATCTCAGGAGGAAAATACCGTATCCTTGTGATTCGCCAATTACCATCACGGCTCCTCAGTTTTCTTTCGTAATGCTTCCGGGCTTCGATTAATGCCCGTCGAAACTGCTCATTATTCACTGGCTCTACATGGTCAATCTCCCAACCGTCATGAAATCCTGCACACCGTTTGTATACGCGAGTTTCGGAACAATCTTTCCGTACGTATACTCCAGCTTCTGCAATTATGAACCATGAATGTCGTGAGTCCTTAAGGCTCCCAATACCATAGCTTGTTCTTACTGTAAATAGTTTCCCCAATTCTTCAATGTCATAGACAGCTTCATTGAGTAGTCTTAAAATATCCCAGTGAGCAAGTGTTCCCCGATCCATTTCAGAGAGTACCCACACCCCAAAAGAATGCGCCTCGTGTTGATGCCACGTATCTCTCTTAACCAGCATCATGTATTTATCAAGGATGTCTGCCATTGGTCCTGGCGGTTTTTTGTTCAGGCTGTTTCCAGCGTAGATTCTTTATCACAGCTGAATCGTTTAGGCGCATCTACTATCCAAAATTCATTCATCGCTTCAGCGCAACTATATTGATCCTCAGTCGACATCCTCGACAACAACTTCAGAATTTTGTCGGACAGCTCCCTTCTGTTCTTTTTGCAGTTTGCATGGTCATTGCCTGTACATCCTTTGCTGTCCCAATTGTCTTTGCAGATCCATACTTCGTCACGAAGAACACGTTCATCGAATGCGGTAGGCGTCTCCAGCTTCTCTTTCAGTTCGGTAAGTAGTCGTTTGCGAGGGTTGGAATTTCCTTTCGATTGTTTCGTCTCGGAACTCCCGTCTGTACCACACATCGAATCGCATTTGATATGGGGGATGTCAACCGTGTCAGAATGTTGCGGAGCCTCGCTTGGTTGTGGATCCCATCCAATCGGCGGTTCCAATCTGTTTCGCGGTCGATCGGGATCTGGTTTCGGGTCGAAGTTCCAGAACTCCTGTAATCCCGTCATTATAATATTAATTTCTACAGGTTACCCTTGTCAATGTTTCGCATAACGCCATCGCCATGTCCACATCCAAACGTTCTTTAACAGCTTGCTGAGTACATCTGTCATAATGGATGATATATTAGGTTGGACCGAAAGTAACTGCAGACGACCTGTAGGCTCCTTTTTCTTAATAATTTCACCAGGTGGCTGTCCGGTTTTTAACTCTCCGCTGTAGTCTAGAAGGGTACTATCACCCCTAAAAATATCGAAAAAATCCTGCCTCTATAACTTTTTTAAAAAATGATTTCCGTGGAACATTGGCTGGCCCGAGGCGGCGACATCCTGTACCCCTCTTCCTTTACAGCCTTATAAAAATTGCTTGTGTGGGAATTCCAAATTCATATTTTGTAATATATAATGCCAGTTTAATATCTTTCTAGCTATGGTGCTTAATTCGCCCTACGGGTTTGTAATCAGCTACTATTCGCAATAGTTCGGATCAAAATCCGAATTCCCGATGTGCTGGACAAAAAGGCTCCCATCGATTTATTGAGGACAACAAAATTAAATGTGATCCATCCATCATAATCAACATTTAGTGACAAACATTGTAATATTACCAACTATCTACCCTTCCTTCTTTATTTAAT